ACTTGTGATAGGGAGAGGGAAGCAGTCGAGTACAAAGCCGGGAGGGAATCACTTGAAAAGATGCTGGTTTCTTACAACCAGGAAGTGCAAAGCATGCAGTTTTCAGCTATTCTGAGGTCTTCTTTCCTACTATACGCTCAGATTGTATTTAAAGAGTTGGTTTTAAAAAACCCCACCAAAACAAACCCCCAGTTCACTTATGCCACTGAAGCAAGAAACACTCTGGTAACACAATGTCAAATGTATGACCAGAATTAACCCTGTATATGACCATTAGGCACATGGCAAGAGATCACGGATACGGGTCAGCTGAAGGTTTCTCCAGTTCCTGTTTCCAGTGGTGCAGGTTTTGAGTTATGGAATGAAACTGAGAGACCTGAGGGCAAAAACTCAATGATACCCACTTGGAAAAGGGAGCTATCACTGTGCAAACAATAACAAATGAAATGCATCTACCCTCTTCTCAAGGCTGTATTTAAAATAACTTCACTGGTCCAATCCTGCTTGACAGCAAGTCACGTGATACTGCTCAGGCTGATTTTGCTTTTTGTTAAAATGTTAACATAAAAAAATTGTAACGAAACCTGAGAGAAGTCTTCCCCACCTGGGCCTGTTCCAATACTAACTAGCAATCCAGATGCCCTAGGACAGGTGACTGCTATTTGGTCCTGTAATCAAAACGTTGAGTATTCTGACACTTGAAATACCTTTATCTAAGACACCACCACTTTCTGGTCACGGGTGGAGTGCTGAGGATTTAAAGAGACACTGTCAAGACTGCCTGTTCCAAAGGTGACCCTCCTTTGCAACAGTCCCATGCTAAATGCTTCAGAACTTTGGGTGTGCATCAGTCTCTTCCCCAACCATCTGTCTCCCCACCTCACACCACCAGTTCACAGTTGTGTCCTCCACTTTTGTAACTTGTATGAAGGTTACAGAAAAGAAAACGGTGGGCACAAATGTTGAGGAAGTTTTTCAGAGGGCTTGACTTTTAGGACTACCTCTCAAGAGTCCCTTTTTAAAAATAAGACACTAAAGCAAACAGGATTGTGTCTAACTTCTACAAAATTGCTGGTTTCACAGGAGGAGGAGAATATGGCTACCGTGCTACTCAGCATTAGGGTGAAGCACCATCTAAATTCCAGTAAAGTTAGGGATATCACCTAGCTCATATCAGCAGCCACACCCCCAGCCTTCTACAACGTCTTTGCTGTCAAGCTTGATGCTGTCAGTATTCTTCTCACTGAACATAGGGCCTCCATGCCTCATCATGAGCTCTGTAGCCATCTTCACAAAAGCTTCCTCCACATTGCTGGAGTCTTTCGCAGAGGTCTCTATGGCACAGATGATATTGTCATAGTGTTCAGCCAGATTCTGAGCTTCTTCCAGCTGAACCTCTCGAAGGTCACTTAGGTCAGACTTGTTTCCTTGAAGAAAAAGAAACAACGGAGTAATTTATAATGACTGTTTATGTCAGATGAAGTATTTAGCAGGAGATTCTCAGGCTGCCCAGAGAAGCTGCAGAACGTCCATTCTTGGAGATTTTCAAGATTTGACAGATAAGGCCCTGGCCAACCTGACAGTAGCCTTGCTTTGAGCAGGACGTTGGACTAGATAATCTCCTAAACCCCGTCCAATCTGTATTTCTGTATGACTTGTACAGAGAACAGAAACAGTCAGTAACTGAAGAGTGCTGGCCATAGACCTTTAACAGAAGAAAAATGGGCTGGAAATGAAAGCTAAAACCATTTTGTGAAAACGGCAGCAGTCTGCTGGTCCCTAGGGAAATCTAGAACAGCACTGATGTTGTATTAGGAGTTCTAAGACCTCGAGAGCCATGTCTGAGTCGGGCACTTTGGGGCTGGGAAGCAGAACTTCTAGCAGAGAACTGGCAAACCCTGATTGCCCCAAAGTCCTTCTGAAGTCCCCCATCCAGTTTGCCAAAACACATTGGCTTGATATGACGGAGCTTCTTTGGGCCCTGGAAACCATACGGTCCTTATCATGAGAATAGCTCCAGAGCAGCTGTGCCTCAGAACCTGCAAATCTTGGGTACCCAGTTCTCCAGTCGGTGAGACGCAAAGGATTCAAAGCCGGCTACTTAACAGAAGTTAATCAAAGCAAAACATTTTGGTTTTGATGAATCAGCACTTCCTAATTAAAAAAAAATTGGAAAAATTTCCAGTCATATCTATTACATACACCTTAACTTCAACCAAACCCAAAACTTTTGACCATCTTAAACAACTGCTGCAACTAATTACATTGTACAGTAACCTGTAGCACTTGGTATTAATATTTTTAACTCACCGATCAGTAATTGTACTATGTTGGAACCGGCATACTTTCTCACATCCTCGATCCAGTGAGGAATGGACAGGAAAGAGCCTCTCTTGCTGATATCATAGGCCAGGATTGCTCCGTTGGCGCTGCGGTAATAACTCTGTGTGATGGTTCGGAATCTCTCCTGGCCAGCCGTGTCCCAGATCTGCAACTAAATAAAACAAAGCACACAGTGAGACACTGGCTAGCAAGTTTTCCTGAATCTAAAGATAAGACTTGATTCAATAGCCTTCTTAGGCTATTGATACATTCTGGCATCACGTTTTTCTAGTCCTTTGTTCATGATTTCAGGATAATAACAGATGCTGGAGAACCTTTTTGCACTTGGCTGCTCAAAGCTTCCATCTGTATTGATTGAGACACTCCGAGTTCCTGCAGGTGAGCTCTGACACATCCTTCTTCTGTGGTAGATTATGGAATTACCACTTTTGCATGCCCAGCCCTACCCCTTTGACTAGCAGAGTTAGCAAAACAAGGCATTAGGCCATAGCCAAGGCACCCCAGTTCATCATCTGGTGTGCTGCTGAAGCTACAGGTGAGTTTCCACTAGCACATTGTCTGAGGTACTGCCATGGTTTGCCAGTTCTGCTACAGGGGCAGTAACAACTGGAGCAGGATGTGGAAGCACCATATGAGCACTGATGCTGTTTTGTAAGGAAATATGAGATGATTAAAAGAATATATATAAAAAAACCATAAAATGTATAAAAGAATGTATAAAAGAAATGCCAGTAGTTCTAGGTTTCAATAAAGTCAGTCAAAGATCTAGTCAGTCTGTTCACTTCTCCTTTTTTAGGTGATAGAACAGACATTACATCTGGGCAAGAAGAAAAAATGCTTAGCTTACATACTTTTGCCTAAATCCAGCAGCATAAGAACTAAGAGTTTAGTATCAGAGTTTGAGTTTCCAGTACTAGATGTTCCAGAGGAAGAAGCCAAGTAACTCAGAGTGGACAAACACAATATCCTGCTCATAGGGAAAATTTTTTTAAAGCCTCTTGTTTTATAGGTTGTCTGATGTCCTGGGACATGATGGCTTATATTTCAGGAGCTTTTAATCTAAAGTAACTGTGGTTGTTCTCATTCTCCATATAAATCTCTCATCCTTTTTGAATCTTTCCAAGCTCTTGGCTTCAATATATAGTAGCAAGGAAACCAAAAAATTTCCCTCTATAAACTTTGTGTTTTCTGTCCTTCTGTTGCACTTTCACTTCTCTATCCCCAAATGATACATGAGACCACTGCTTGTCTTTTTGTGCCATTCCTTATGTTTTGCATCTCTTCTTAACTGAGATAGGATATAAGCAAATACTCCTGGGTTTTTGAATCTTTCCATATTAGTTCCTCTCTCTCTCTCTCAACCTCTTTTAAAGAGCTGACAAGAACTTAACGCAGTGTGCCAGTGATGTTTTGTATCAAATAATATGGAATAATTTTTCCATTTATTTCTTTCACATAGTAGTATTTTTCTTTGTATCTTCTGACTCTGCGGCATGTTTGAGCAGAAACTTTCACTTTGGAAAAGGCTGTACTGATTGGATCGCTCTCCTCTGCTAACCAAGCATTTAGATCCCAAATGATGTACGTACAGCTTAAAAAAAAAATAAAAAAATCAATTCAATGAAAAAGTACTTTAGTGCTGGTAAGAGTTTTCTCAGAGAAGGGGAAGGGACTGTAATGGACTCAGAAAACCACAAAGCAGTGATCATTAATGGAACAGATAACGATTTAGAGCAGGCAACAGACAATTACTAGACAAGGAAGTTCATGGCAGGTTTATGTATGATGTTCTCTGTACTCAAGTCTCCCACTTAGACCTTTGTGCTCGTTACATAGTTTTAAATCTCAATATGTGATTAGGTCAAGTGCAAAACAAAGTTAATGATGATTATCCATCTCTTGGGAGAGGTCTGAGAGATTCTGTGCATATAGAAAAAATATAAACTTTTTAAATTAAAAAAAATATTTGTTTTAGCTTATAGTTTTCACGTAAGCATAAACAAAAGTGATTTACCTGCAGAGTGACTGATCAAGCCAGTCTCACGCTTTGTGCTGTAAGCTGGATTTTGAAAACCTCTGTGTAAGAACATTGCATGGAATCACAGAATCATTGAGGCTGGGACAAGTTTTGGGAGGTGACAAAGCCAACTCCCTGCTCAAAGCAGGGTCAAAACTTAATTCTTCCAGGAAGAATTGCTCCATGATTTGACCAGCCCGTAGTTCCCAGGATTTCTTGCCTTTTCTGAATATATTTGCCTTTCTCTGGTCCTCCCCAACTTCCGCAGCCTTTCAAATGTCACCAGCAAGATCTCGTAGCACCCCTACGCGTATTTTACTAAGTGTTTATGTCTGTGTGTTCACAGGACTGAATGCACAAAGTTGCTGAAGCCCTGAGCGTCCTGCTGGGAAGAGCACAGACCACAGGTTTGACCTTCTCAGGAGCCCAAACAGCACTCTTCCTCCCAGCTCACGCCCTCAGGTAGGCTCTT